GCAAGTAAGTACAGTTTCTTTTATAATTAGACAGCACTGCTATTAAGATGTGACATGCCTAATTTGGGGTTTAGTTATTTTGCTGGATTTCATTTTAACAGACAGTCCTTACTGCACACACAAAGTAACCACTTGACCAAGTAGCCAGTTATGAATTCCCTGCCCAGCCATTTCTGTGGACGGTAATTCATTCCAGTTAAAATATTCTTCATCAGAATGAAAAGTAAAGCTCTTATAAACAAAAAAAGTTTTTATTAAAAAATCATCTATTTTTCAGACTTACCCATTTGTTCACTGTGATAGTACAAATCAGTAAATTCCACTTACTTCTGTCAAATTATCTTAATTGGAGAATAAATGAAATTAATAGCCTTTTTTTCCCCTAATACGTAGTTTATGCATAAAGACCACAGCAAAATGTTTTAACTATGCCTTAATATACTTTGTGGCAAAGTCAATTATCTAATTTTTACCTGACCTAATAGCACTCCAGGACATTAGGGTTTTAATATTCATGTCAAGAGGATTGGTAGTGAGTTTAGGGTTAGAAAGGTTTTAGAAATACTTCTTTACAGCTTCATACACTTTAAATTAGGAGTGAAATAACCCCGAGATGCTTTCCAGGTTACAGAATACATGATGAAGCTGATAACATTATGCAAGGATTTTGTTGTGACAGTGAATATTACCACTGTGGCCAAAAATAAGTGTGGCAAAGGTGGTATATAGGCAGACAGAACTAAACAGTAATATCAGAGATTCAAATAAGTTATTTTTGCTTCTTTATATGTATGTAGCTAAAAAAGAGATGTTCCATCTGTGACACATCACTAGAGATATATAAACAAATTGAAAAACACCTAGAAAGAGTAGAATTTTTCATAAATATATACTGCAAAATTCTGTGTGTGTGTGTGTGTGTGTGTGTGTGTGTATGCAGGTGTGTGTACGCACATGCGGGTACAAGAAATCTCACTGTATTGGATATAAGAATTCAGTTCCTTTTTGTGGTTTCTTTTGGTCATATTTTCCCCCCATTCATGCTGCTGAATATAATCCATCTTGCTTAGTTTTCTAGTTTATAGATTATCTAAGCACATACGGCTTTCTTATATCCTGGCCTGGCTTAAGCAGTAGAAAGATTTGTCTCTGTATCTCTTGGAGCAGAATTTCACAAGTTAGTCAAGGGCTGTGCCAGCTGTGCATTAGCATCCACACCGACTTGTCCTACTTGTTTATCAAAGCAGGAGCAAAACATGAGAGGAAAAGAAGTTTAAAGCAATAGTTCAGTTACCTGAGCTTTACCACTCCAGATTGCTATGCAAGTCTGGTTTTCCAGAACAACCTTCCAAAACCTGTCTTCATCACCTGAGAGGGATTTTGTTTCGGGTTTTGGGATTTCCGGCCGCCAACCACCACCATCACCACAGTTTTCATAGTCATTTTGATCTTCACATGTCACAGGACTTTTTTGTTCAGTGCTTTCCCTTCACAATTCCTATTTACTAACTGGACAAGATTTGTCTAAATCTTTTGTTTGACTTGCCTGTTTCTCCTGACAGTCTGCAATTGTTTAGCTAAAATCCAGATACCCTCAATGACCAGGTCAACAGAGAATATTCATGAATAATTACAGAGAAATTCTGACAATATTTTTTGATTTTATCTATTTAAGCCCAGTGAAGTGGAAGGAGAGACAGGGCATATTCAAATTAGTCAAAAGAACATGTTGGAGACCATAGAGCCTGTAGAGGTAGCAATCAGGACAATGGATTTGGCAAATTCATTCTCCCATTAAATGTGGACGGTGGTTTGGAAGCAAATATGAGGGGAGAAATTCTGTATGGTAAAACATAAGCCTTATGTTTTATATAATAAAGATAAGGAAGGAGATACATGACAGGACAGAGAAAAGCAACAACTGGAGAGATTCCCTGAAATGCTGAAAAATGTGAGGAAAGAGCTGTTTTGTGGAGGTTGGTGGCTCCAGGCTCTCTTCTGTCAGCAATGCTAACTACCTTTCTGCCGGGTCAGTAGTTGGCAATGAGGTCCTTTTAGTCTTGGCAATGGCTGAAACAGTAGCCAGCACATTAGGGTTCTTTCTTTATTTTGCTGGGATTAAATTGCGGCTGCTGACACATTCCAAGTCACCTGTCATTTTCCCAGTGAAGAGGAGATATACCAAATGTCATCTTTCACAGTGATCGCTGACAGGCAAGAAAAGCAGCTACAAATACTTTCCGTCATCAGCACCATGAGATTTACTAACGTCTCTCAAAAAGTCTGTCAGTATTCAAACAGCCATGCAAGGAAGCCTAAGTTTGACAGCAAAGGCTTCAATTAACTTATTTCCGGGTCATATTTGGCGTTAACCTGTAACAAACAAAAAACCCTAAAACATCTGAACCATCAAGGAATTTAAGGTTATCTAATAAGTTGACCCCATTTGCTGCTAGAGTAATGGGCAACTATTTTTATCATGCACATTCCTTATCTTTTTTTCGCAGCCATTAGTGCACAAGCAAATCAGCTGAGTTGAAATTGCTTTCAACCAGATATGGTAATAATTGCATGAATGACATTTCAGGCCTCATTTGAAACCTGGAGGCTGAGGTGAGAGGTAGAAATGCAACAGATATCATGTTCTTCTGCATGTTTGCCCCCATCTCTTATTCCTGGTAGCTTTTACTGATCTTTTCTTGTTACACTGCAAAGAGTGTGCATTTTAAAACTGAATCTGTAACTAGTTAGTTCTTTCTTTAGCAGGTTGGGATTTGGAATTTTTTTGCGTTCTTAGTGTAAATGAAACACAAATTATTACATCTCGAAACCAACGGGCTACTATTTTTCTCATGCTTTAATTTAGCCATCTGATGCAGTCCCTCCTCTATCCACTGTAATTGTGAGAACGACAAACATTCCTCAGAGATTTCCAGCAGCTGGCATTTGGCGAATACTCCAGAAAAAGCTTAGTCTTTAGTTACAGATTAATGATTTATTAATAGTCTTTATTTAGAACTGCCAGTCACTATGTCTGTAGGAATTAACAATAAATAACATGGAGCTGAGCACCTTTTGTCTACAAACTAAAATCGAATGACTCAATTGCTTGACAGGCAGAAATGTCCTGAAAAGTAATTTTTTCTGACCGAAACAATATGTAGCTGATCCAGTTACAAGTGGAAAAATGTTACTGATGTCACTTCTAAATAGACTTTGTTGGTACTAAAGAATTCAAAATGCTACAGGGGTGAAATGCCTCAAAATGCTGTTATTTGTATTAGATAATACTGCTCATTATGAGCAACAGTCATTGGCTCTGAAATCCCTGCATAGGTCCGTGATCGATCATTGAGATATAACAGAAGACATGACAGGCACATAGAGGAGCCAGAAATCAAATTTACTGTAATATACATCAGTGTGTATTTTGCAATAAGTGATTTTCTGTGATTTGTGGGTATTTTTGCTGGCCCGCTTTTATTGAAAGGTTGTTTTTTTTTTTAATGCCATATTTACTGTCATATCCCTACAAAAACTTTATGCTTTGATTACCTTTGCATTTCATGTACATTTGTATATGTAGCATATAGCTATGTTTTCTACAACCCATATAATTATGTCATTTCAATTAGGAGCACTTGAATGTTTCATTTGTTTTTTATTATGCCAGATGATAATATTTTGGGGGCAAAAAAAGTGTAAAAAGCCTTTCAAGACCTATCCAAAATTTGTGTTAAGCATATATATATAATATATATATATATAAATTTGAAAAGTGTCTCCTTTGAATATTACTGAATGGAAAAATCTAAAACACCTGTAACTTTTCTTTTGTTAACACAATTTTCACCGCTTGTGCCAAATATCTGGGTTTTTTTAAAGGCAAGCTAATTTTTGGTAAAACAGATAAATGAGCTTATAGGTAATCATGTAGTTGTTTATCATCCAAATTAGCCTGGTTCTAACAAGACTATCACTCTGATAGCATTTATTATATAAAACAGTAAGGCACATCATCGCCTTATTCTATGAGTAGGTTATAGTAAAGAAGCTATGACTTTCCCAGCTGACATGCTTGCACGGATTCCAGTATTCCTGACATTTCCTGCTCCATTAATGCAATTTCTCTAGCACTGCCTTCTGTCATAGGGTGCTGCCATTTGCGTTTTCTCTCAGATAATACTGAATTTACTTCCAGGAACATCTGAGAGTAACTGGTTAATTCTTTCATTTCTTTTTTCACATACTTTTTCAAAGGGAAGAATTCTGTCAGGTTTGTGTTGTCGGGTTCACTTCATAGATAAAAATACTTTCATTTCTGTCCCCACCATATACTATATTCAGTAATGAAGTTCTTCCAGTAACTGCACTCAGAGCATTCTTAACTTTAACGTTTCCTGACTTTGGTAGTATGTTTATCTCATAAGTGCCTTTAATGCTATGATTTTGACATGGGACTTAAAAGCAGGAATAGGTGGAAATGAGTGTTTTTAAAGAGCCTCAAAATGAACAAGTTTTCGCAGTTCAAACAATGAAAAAGGACTATTTGTCCAAACTAGCGTGAAGTACTGTAAATTACACCCCTCTTGAATGAGCACAGACTCTTGCCTCCAGAGGAAGAAAGCACAACAAAAAGGAAAAATGCCAGTAATTTATTGCTCTTTCCCCCCCCCTTTTTTTTTTTGCATATAGCTCTAGATTGCTTTCTATTTTCCAGTTAAAATAATCCTTCTATAGTCACTCTCTCACTCAGATTTTTTCATGCTGAGTTGTGTATAATGGACTCACCTTGTATCACCCTCATACTTCAACCTATTTCTCACTGCATTTTTTGACCATGCATCACACCACAAAGCAGCTTCTATTTTACTCTCGATAAAAACCTCACACTTCATTGCTTTGCCCAGCCAGAGGTATATATGTATGTT